GAATGAAAATACCATCTATTCAATACTTAAGCTAAAGAACTGAATTTTATCCATCTTCATTTTTTTCCAAGCACAATTATTTGGTGAAAACAGTTTAATATTTAAGGTTCACTGCCTTTGAAAACTAGGCATGGAAAACAGATGGGTTTAAAAGGTTTCAGTACTGGGTTGTGCTTATGAAACAAAGTGTGCCATAGGTCGTGCTGAATATTAGTGATTTTTATGAAAAGTAACTGATTAAATTGGAAAAATGTCAAAATGTGATTTTTTTTTGTTTGTTTTTATTTTTCCTGGATTCCAGTATGCGGGAGGCATTTATTCTAGACTTGAAGCTCAGATAAAGGCCTCGGCGCAGGTCAGTGCACGACAAAACAATGCTGAGAAGAATGCCAGGTAAGATTTTGAAATAAAAGGGAAAAGCAGAACATGGATTTCAGGGGGGGGGCGTGCAGTGGGTGTTTAAAGAAAAACATGCCTCATTTCATACACTTTTTTTGAATCTGCATCCCTTCCAGCAGCTTAACCATATATGGTGTGAAAGCTTCCTTTGTGAAATTAAACTAGAGCTCAGAGAATGAAACTCTTGTACCCATGCTGGAAGAACTGCTTTATAGCTTCTATGTTGGAGGGTTGACTGCTGCTCCAATATAATTTTTTGCAAAATTATGGATAGCTGGAAAAGTGTTAGCCAAGAGTCTTTAGCCTATTCTTTGGCCTCCTTCCAAAAATAAAACCAAAGAACACCACCCCCCCACCCCCCACCCCAAAAAAAAACCCTACATTACTGCATATTGGTCCTCTGCACCTTAAATGGATAAAACAAACATGAACTGAGAAGCTGGCGTACTGTGCGCAGTTGTAGAGCGTGGAACTGGTCATAATCTGGCCAGCAGGTGAGCCTCTTGAGCTGAAGCTCATAGTGGAGTTGCTGACAAACTTGTAAGGGATGGGCTGGAAGCTTCAAATACCTTGTCAGAGGAATTTCTCACAGGTCTTACTTCTGTCAAAAAAATGCATTTGACTTTCTTCCTGTAGAATTAGAGATTTCAAAAGAAGATATCTGACATCACAGATCTTTCAGCTGCATACCTTTTTTATGAATATGTAGTTAGTAGGTACGGGTATCCTGGCAGAAATGCAACTTCTCAATAATAGATTCTGAGAGTGAGATCCCCCCTCTCCCCCCTTCTTCTTCTCTCAGAAGACACTTTAACATGAAAGTAATTTCAAACAAATACTGTACTAGAGACTGACTGGACAATAATTTAAAATTCTAGCAGTAGTAATGTACATAGGTTTCTTATGTGTTCTTAATCCAGGTCAAAATCCCGTTTTGGTCAAGGCCGTCCAACATAAGGACTCATGGAAAAACTTAAACCAGAATACATTACTGCTTCCTGAAACTGTACTGCACTCTGACGTACGGAGAACGCACACCTCTGAAAGCTTTCCAGTGACTTATTTATTACTTTAAGCCTTGTAAATTATTTTGTGCGATAAATGAATGCAAATCAGATAAGGTCTGTACTTATTTTAATTGTAAATATACTATTTCTTAAATTGAAACTTAATTGCTTTTTTAGGCTATTGTGTTAAGTTGCATAGAAAATATTTTATAAATCTACAAAGTTAAATTATTAGACTAACTTTATTTATGGGGGAAGACCATAAATATGCCTTTTAGTATGCTAGAAATACTGAAAAGGAAAAAGCAAGACTACTGAGTTCTGCGTACAGTCAGCAGCATTAACACAAGTCACCTTTATTTATATTGTGTAGTATCTGATGGTGCATTTTAGGTCAGTCCTCTGGGGATTTGCATTTAAAGTCCGTGACAATACCTGTGACTTAGACTAGTTTAAGCAAAATTTTAATGCAGTTCTGAGGCTTCTTTCTGTATATCACACAACTCCAGTTCGTGTGAAGGTGGGTAGCAGGTAGAGACTAGACCTCCAAAGGTTATATAAATGCCATGATGATGCAGTATTGCATCTTGCACGTGAAACGCTTGCTTTACTTGTATGTGAAATTAATACTCATTCCCATTACGTATCTGACTCCTCTTGCACAATACAGTGTTTTGTTCCCTTCTAGTATCCCGACTTTAGGACGCAAAGCAGTTCTGTCTCTTAATGATGCTATGCCACTAAATTGCCGAGCAGATATGCTATTAATTCTGCGTCTTTCAGCGGAGATGAATCATTATGAAGATTTATGCATGTAGATCTTTTGGGTCTAGTTACTTCTGAAACCTGCCTGAATAATACTGTTTAGAAGTCAGATGCACTTTCAAGTTCTGTATTTGGAGCAATAGAATACAAGATTGTCTACATGTAAAATCGAGGGCTACCAAAATGAAATAACTTACCTAGAAAATGTGTCGCATATTAGCAAAGAAAATGGCAATAATGGCAATAATAATGGCTGAATTCAAGTAAACACATTCTGACTTTTTGAAACAGGTAGAAAGAGTGCTCAGGGAAAGCTTATTCCAGGCCACAGCTGTACAATAAATTGTGAGTTTGGAATTAAGTCAGCAAGATCCTGGGTGGGAGGGTGGGTTGGGGTAAGGAGAGGGAGATCATTGTTTAAATGCACTCTTCTCTCCAGTCAGGCTTTTTTTGTCTTGTTTCTTGAGGATTTTCAGTAGGCGTTAGAAGACTAGGATAGCAATACTTGAAAATACTGCTTTCAAGGTGGAAGATTTTTATTGAAACAATTACAAATGAATGTTGTTTATTGTGTGTTTTGTCCAATGCTATAGCAAATTTGGAGCCCAGCAAAGCCAACAGGCAAAACTGTGGATTTCAGTGGCTTTGATTTTGGGCAGGAGTGGTAACTTTGCAGGCATGCTTCAACCTGTATCAAATAAATAAGGCTTTATTAATGCCTCGGGCCTGTTTGCAAGTAGTAATGCAGTTTTAAGCACATAGAGTAAACATTGGAAGACTGATTGTTGAAAGAGGAAGTATTATAAAATCCACCAGGTACGAAAATGCAGTAGAATAAGTGTTCTGCTACAGTTTTGTGACTTGTGATAGAGGATTGTTCCAAGTCCCCATGGTAAACTTTGCTATGAAAGTTGCAGGCTGCATGGATGTGTGTTTAGTTTTCATAGAACTACTGACTAGAAGAGAAGGGAAAATTCCGCTGGTTTTGTTCTGTGGGAAAGTGCCAGTTCTACATGCCAGTATTGTTTTATTAAAAAATATTTTTGAGCATATAAAAATAACTTACATGATATGCAGTCTATCTTTTTTTCCCCTTGCCGCCCACCTTGAATTTTTACCTTGTATTAATTTTGAAAATTTGTCTTGGTTTAATGGAAATAAATGTTACTGATTTAAGAAGTGTGTGAGTTTTTTATAGATACTTGTAAGAACTAAGTAAGTGCGTAAATGTTGTTTGATGGTCTCAATCATGCATGTGTATTTGTGATTAAATTGCAGCATCATGGTACAGGCTTTTTATCTGTCAAGAGCAGGATATGGTTGAACGCGGAGCTACTGCACATCTATGAGAACTTAAAAGAATTTTTATCTGCCCTGAGTTTTGAAGCTGGATTAAAAGTTCATGAGTGAGCTGCCCTACAAATGACCCAAGTATGCAAAATATCAAGCTAAGCTATGTTAAAAACATGTTTAACTTTGCCTTCCACTGCCATAGTGGTGATCATACCCTTTAAACAGTCTGTTTAATCTATGAATAGGATTAGCTTCCATGATTTCTGTTTCTAGAGATTGTTATATGGATGACCTGTGTATGTGCAGTTGGTATACTGGGAAGACTACAGTGTACGTTCTGCTGTCACATGTGTGTTTAAACTAACTTGCTGCACTGTGGAGCTGTGCCTGTTTGCTTGATGTCCAGAAATCTTGGAGAAAGGGCCAGAATTTTAAATTCAGCCACTGTAACGGCTACAAGAGAAAAAGAAGGCATGTTAGGAGATAGGTGGACATATGGTTGCCCAGTCTGTAAACACAGAACTATGAATAGCATGGGCATATTTGATGTGACTGAGAGGACACTTCTCTTTTCCAGAAGGGAATCAAATTTCTTTAAAACATTGTTTCCAGTTCCTGTTGAGTGTAGGGACATATTGTATCGCATTGGGAAACTGCTCCTGTGCATCAGATGCTTGCTTGAGGCCATTATGTGAAGGTCCCCGCTTCTGTCTAGGCACCTCCCTCTCCACTCTAGGCAAGTGTAAAACCTTAAGCTGTTATTGATGTCCAAGAGAGCAGCATACATAGACAAATACTGAAGACATTCCTTCTGCAGCTGTTCTTGGTGAAATCTAATCTGTATGAACTCTACCACTGTGTTCTGAGTTTGTTCTCTATCTGCTAATAATTAGGAAGTATAGAAGACTGCACTCAAGTTAAATTTATCTTTCTGCAGGAATAGATTTACTGTTGGATCCCCTCTTAGCTATATCTATAAATAAAACCAGCCAAAGGCTTTTCCAGGCTTGAGCCAAGTGACGGCAGAGAATGGCTGTGTCCCTGAGGTTACTGTCTCCTCCTGTCTTTGAGCATCGTGGTGGTGGAGGTTGATGGGACCATCGGCCAGCCTGAAGGCTACAGCGACTGACACAAAGTTGCACAGGACTGCATGAGCTCTTCTACTTTGGGAATCACAAGGGCGTTGGATGCGAATTTGATAGGTGCTGCTGCTGTTGAAAGTGGGCGGCATCCTCAGTCTGGAGAGGACTGTGCACTCTCACACAGCCCTTAGCCGGTCACTTGTCAGTCTGGCGTGGGAGAAGTGTGTGTCCTGCAGTTTTCCACTGTTGTGCCCTGCCTGCTCGGCAAGCGACGCCGTCCTCACTGACGTAGCTGGATGCTGGGCCGATATATTCTGGTTAACGGTGTTCAATGTCAGTTGAAAAAAATTACCATTTCCACCACCCCACCCTTGCTGGGTTGTCTATAGCTTGTTTGGTGTTACAGATCATCTCACCTTAAATACATGTCTCCATCCTCCTCTTTGCCTGTGTGCTAAAACAAATCAACTTCATCTGAACTCTGTTCTGGGCTTAGTTCCATTATGGGATGTAGGTGGCAATGGCTGGGAGTGTCACGGTGCTTCTCTTTGCCTGGGCTTGGAGCGCTGATCCCTGAGAACAGCAACTGAGCAGTGAAGGAAGAATTCTGCATGGCAGCCTTGCACTGGGACCCTCCCAGCTAAACAGCTGCCGCAGCTTGTAGAGAACGGATAACAGCGTTGTGCTGCATCCGAGCGGCAGTTTTCATTCTATGCCTGCCTGTAGGTGACCTTTAACTTACAAACCCAGTGCAAAACCAAATGTGTACGCTAATGGCCTACCTCCTTCAGCTTGTAGGCTGCCTCCCTACAGGTAATGAGGGAGATCTTGCTGGAGCTTTATCCTCTAAGGTCTCATGCTACTTCTCATCACTGTGCTTCCAGCTCTCTGGGGTGCCTCTTGCTAACAGAGGTCCCAGAAAACCTTGAAGCCGCTTTGCCTTCGCTATGATTTGGAATATCCAAAAGTAGATCTTTGTTTGTGGATTAAGATTCCAGCACGTAAATATTTCCAGTGGTCAGGAGGATTGGTTGCTACAAGAACTTTCTGGTACAAATACCAGCTTATGTAGCCTCTGGCCTGGCTGTGATAGCACAAAGGTGTGTGATGCTGTTCTGTGAACAAGACCAGGAAACTTCTCTTCCTTTTTCTTCTTCCCAGGAGGTATTTTGTGCACAAATCTGCCTTCTCTATTTTGCCACATAACCTTGCGAAGGCCTGGCCAGCCTGGACACGGGGGAACAATCAGGCAGGGGAGGAAAGATAACTGCCTGAGATTGGCCCTAGTAATAGTGCCATTGATAGATGGAGCGGCTTTGGTGGGCACCTGGCGTCCAGCCAGGGTCAGACCACCACAATGCATAATCATGGCTGCATGTGGCATTTGTTCAAAAGAGATGGTGCCCGTAATTGAACTTCTTTTAATATTTTTTAATTGCCTCTGCTTGAATTGCTCCTGCATTTCCATTTCAATTATTTAAGGCTAGGAAAGTGCAATGGTAATTTTAGTTATTATATGTAATTTTATTATGTTTTCTTTTTTCATTCAAACTGTAGTAATTACTTTAGTATCCATGGTGACAAAACATGCTAGCACAAACCTGAAAAGACCTTGGTCTGGCAGCAGTTTTCTTACTGCATAATCAGTTCCTCCTTTGACTTAAAGGTATACTTACCTCCAAATGGTTGAAAAAAACTGCATGATTAGGTGTATCATTTGTAGTCTTTGAAAGGTCTTTTTTTTTTTCCTTTTTGCAGGAAACTTCACTGAAGTAAAAATGTTTTAACTACCTGCTAAACCTATTTTCAA